TCAATGGGATGTGGATTGTATATATAATTGAACAGCTCAAACCTTGGAGATAATTATTATTTGTTTCAGTTAAAATTTTCTCCCTCCCCCCCATGTTTTCCCTCAGACGAAATAAAGATCAGCCAATGAATTGACTTTTTATTATTATTGTTGTTGTTGTTTTCAACTTTTGTCTTCAACTGATAATTTTAAGGAGCAGAAAACTCTTCATAATTACGCAAGTTTCATAGGCGTAAGTGTGCACCTCACAAATACACACGCGCACACACACACACACATTCATTTAATAATATCTCACAATAGATAATTTAACCACCGATCAAAAATTAGTGTATCGAAAAGGTGAAAATATTATAATTAAATAAAACCAAAGAAAACAAAACAGTCGAGGTTTATTTACGACTCAGTTCATTCATTCAATATCTAAATTAAATCAATTTGATGATAAAAAAAAACAAGAAAAAACAAAATCCAGAATTGACTTTTCCTCTCCTAATCCTTCCATTGAACAATTAATTTTAAGCAAAAACAGCAACTACGTCGTACATTCATTGAAATTTTTTTTTCTACAGAACGTCTTCTAGCTGTGCAGCTGATTCTATACTGATTACATATTAACAAAACCTTTTTCAATGAGCCTCACTTAGGCATTAAAATTCAACAACTTTAATAAAATTTCAGAATCAGCATTTTATATTCCATTTATTTTTTTAAATAAATAAACTTTTATTATGGCTGCGTAATTTGAGCAGACAATTTGCTTGTGATCAATCCAATGTTAATGAGATGAAAACTTGACTTTAACATATTCCATAACATTTATTCATAGATTGCTATGACTAATACATTTTACATAACATTTATTATTAGACTGCTATTTTAACTGCCATAAAATATAATTAGCAGAAATTATTTTGCAATGATTATTGATATTTTAAAATGTGTCTGAGAGAATTAATTAGTGGTGTAAAAATAAATAGAGCAATTTATACATAATGAATTGAAACTGTTCAGTTAGTAGATCTGTATATAGATAGAAAAAAAAAAGGAAAGATTTTCTATTTGCCAACAAGCCAACTTTAACATGGAGAATATGAGAAACCAAAAAAACTTGTTAACAACAACAACAACAACAACAACAACAACAACAACAACAACAACAGCAGCAGCAGAAGCAGCAGCAGAAGCAGCAGCAACAACAACAACGACAACAACAATAAAAAGTCAATTGTGCAGAGAGAAGTAAACATGTTCATTGTTGTTTCAAGTGGCAAAAAATTAAGAAAGAAAAAAAATGAATAAGAGAGTTTCTAAATTCTCTGCTATATAACACATATCTCAACCTACCTATGCTACATAAATCAGATGAACCTCTCTTCATATTTTGTCTGAGTTCGTAGTTTATGATAATGCTAGGTCTTTGAAAGAGCTACAGTCAAGTGCTTAAGTATTGCAGGTATTTAACGCAAATTTCAGACAAGATTACACAACAGAGTAAACTTTAACACTGCACGGTCTTAAATAATACACAACGAAATACACATATACACACAACATACACACAAAAACACACCACACATTTGGATGAATGCTACAACACCTACAAAGTCTTACCATTGCAAAAATCTTAAAAAAAAACATCACATTTAAATAGTAAATCAACAGTAACATCACAAGCGTGGTTAACATTCATCACGCTTATAAAATAAAACAAATTGAATTGATCAAGTCCACCATCATTAAAAATACCAAATCAGATGATAAAAATAAAAAATACATTAATTTATCACACTAATTGTTTCGGTGAACGAACCTATTTTATTTTTTAAATTATTTTAAACTTTATTAAATAAATAAATGAATTAACTGATCGATTAATTAACTAATTACTTTTAATTACCTTTAATTTAGCTTCGACATCAAAATGTGTGTCCATGATGTTTCTGTTCTGACTGATCTCCTTCAGCTGGTTGGCCAAAGTGGATGAGAGTAAGTTGGCCATTATTAACTTCTGGTTCTGCTGCATGTTGTTGTGGTTCGCCTGCATTGTTGTGTTTATTTCCAAGCTTTTTTAAAATCTAAAAATCTCTGTTACATAAATCAACATTAATAATTTTTATTAAATTCTTATTTTGAACAAAATTATAAAAAAACATTCCAAATTTATTTATGAGTTACAATAGCAGAATGTAAAGATACGAAATATTTTGATGAGCCAATGAATAATGAAATATACAATACAATACATATACAAATAGATGTATGTATGTTTTGTACAGACAAAGTTCACACACACACATCTATATACACTAAAGACCTGTGTATTTTGGTTGTTTTAGCCTATGCTGCTTGGAAGTTTTAAATCCATTCAAAACTAAAGTAGCATTTTCATGCATTTGCAGTTTTATCTCATAACAGTTTTCGTAGGTTTCGTTGTTATCTTAAGTTCAATGTATGTTACTTTTCAAGTAACAATATTAAATCACGCTCTTTCATTCTTCAAAAATATGGTAAAAATTCCAAATAGAAATCTTTAGAAGTTACCTGCTCAACTCTTATGTCTATCAGTTCTTTGTAAAATCCAAAATTGCATCGATTAATAAACTTTAATTATGATAATTTTAAACAAATATAAATATTTTCATATTTAGTACACACTCCTCTAACTTTAGTAAATGTCACTTTAAAACTCTGCTACTTTTATATTCTATTTTTTTGTTTAATGTAATAGGACTTTGGCCAATTTTATCATCTGATGTAAATAATTAAAGTCTATTTAATTCTAAAATTGCCAGCTTATGTTTTTCAACATTTTTTAAAATTCTCAATTTAGGCACTTTGTCAAGTATGTGTTTTTATTGTTTTTTTTTTATATATAGTTTTAGCTTACCTGCTTATTTTTAAAAGATCTGTTAACTTTATTCTCCTTTTAATTCTTCTCTTTATTTACCTGATTGTTTATATTTTGCATCATTTTGATTCGGTCGACTTTTCTAGGCAGTTCTAAAAACTTTGCTAGTAGATCAGCAGATAAGAAAAGACGAAAAAAAATATTTCATAAATTCTGATGAGTTGAAAAAGATGAAAACGCTTTCAACAAAACAAAACCAGCCAGTCTCCTGTCAATTTTTAAATTTCACAAATTTCTTTTAACTTACGTAGTTTAGTAAGATAATGCTTCAATATTTTTTATAGCTAACAACAAATCTAATTAAATATTCAAAAACGTTCCAGAAAAGAATAGAAGGCCAATATGCTTTCTTAACACAACTGGTCCAAAAAAAATCATATCTGCAATGTAAAGAGTGAAATTCAGTCAGAACCACTTGTAGACGATTATGATATGAAATAATTTGTAGAAATGACCAATAAAAACGGTCCTTATTATCACAAATCCAACGTTGAGCAAAAGTTAAAAAATTTAAAAAGTGAAATTTTGGGCATTTGTTATAGTACAGCAGTATATACGTTGCAAACAATGGCAAGAAAAAAGCATACTGAAACAAACATCGGGACCACACAACAGAAGTTATTGTTACCAAATAAGTATCAACGATGCTGTTAAAGACACACGTGATACCGATATATGATATATATCTATCACTATATATATATATATATATATATATATATATATATATATATATATATATCACTAGAGGGTAATGACAATGACGATGATACTAACGAGATTTAGAGGCATGTTGATACTGAACTCCATCTCTGTACTTCCATCTGTTTCTACACTGACAGGCAGTTGAATTGAATGCAGATCATTCAACGAAATATTCTTCAGAACCTGACCGCTACAGTTACTCTTGTTGTTGTTGTTGGTGGCATTAGAGGAGTTTACAACGTGGATGACTTCCGGTTTGGAGTTCTCAACTGTCACAAGATTATTCTTCAAATGTCTACCATTAGTGTCGTACGAGGAAGGGGACACTGATTCTGATTTTATGTAGTGCTTCTCTTTAGCCAGACTTTTAAACATTATATTCCGAAGATTTTCTTCTGATGGCAGCAAAGCGAATAAATTTTACAAAAACGTTTTTACAATTCTAAATCGACTTTATCATTCAATTATTATTCAATTATGTTGTCAATCAAACATAACGTGACGTTGATAAAAGTCAGGTTGCTTAGCAGGAAGGAATGTAAAGTGGGATTGCAAGTGTAACTCTATAGGGAAAATGCCTGCACCAACTAAACTACTCTAGTAACATTCTACAATTAATGATCTGCACTGCTTGTAGTAATTAATGACGTCATGAAATGATAACGAACGATGTGGTGATGACGTAAGAGCAGGACGATGTTGTTGTGGTGCAGTTTCGAGTCTTTCTCAAAAATTGTCACAAAGAATTCGTCGGTATAGATTTAATGTAAATTAATTACATATATCAGATGTTGCAATGGAGTGTTTCGAGTTAAACCAGGGAGAATGTCATTCCATCGTTAATTTAAAATTTCATTACAATGAAATCTATAATTTAAAAAATTGTTAACTGAATTACAACCCTTTTAAAGTAAAATATTTAAAATAAACTATTTAAATAAAACTAATTATATATATATAAATATTGAATATTAACTAATTAATTAATGAATGAATGAATGAATGAATTAATGAATTAATTAGGTTTTGAAATAACAGAAGCAAGAAAGATAGCCGATTTACAATTAAATAATTTTTAAATATTTTGCATTGAATATTAACCAGCAGAAACTAATATTAAACATTAAACTACAGAAATAACTGAAGCACAAGCCTCCGCTGTTTATGTATTAAATGAGCGAGTGAGGTTACGGGGTTAAAGTTCAACTTCAATGTGACCTGAAAGAGCATGTACTTGCTTGCTTGCACCAACAACCTGAACTTTGAACTACAAACATACATTTACACATAAAATATGCAAATGCGGGCGTTTGTTTTTCCATCTGACATACGAATGTACTGTGTGAGCGTGTTAGGGTATACAAAATGTGTTTGAATTTCTGTAAAAACAAGCATCAAACTTCACGCATATGTGAAAAATGATAACTTTCGAATGTATGTATATGTAAATATAGTAGTTGTGTGTTTGTGCGAGAAGATATGGCGTCTATGTGAAGTATGTACGTGTGTGTGTGTGTGCATGAGAATAAGTGAATCTGCATATGAACCTTTGACTGCCTGTGCAGCATGTAACAAGATCGAATATGAATTTGTAATTATTTCAAATTATATTTACTTGTTCACACACACATACGTATACACACGCGCATACCCATATTCATACACTCATACATGCTGACACACTCACTCACACACACAAACACACACACGCGCGCGTGTTAAATATCAGGTTCAAAATTGATTAATTGTATAAAAAAATTTGTGAACCTTATTCATGCTTGTCCTAAAACACGGACTGACTTGATGTTTTATAAATTGCATGAAATTATAACATACTATCCATCATCTTCATCATAGAAATACAACTTCAAATACAATAGAAATACAACTTCATCATCACCTAATCACATCATCATCGTCGTCATTATCAAGAAGGTCATACACATTTTATTAGTTGTAATGTGGATGATAAAAATGAAGTTAAACTAAATATTACTTTATACATAATCAAATTATTTCTGAATGAAATACTCTGTGTCAGCAGAATTGTAAGGATCTGAAGGAAGCATTAGGAGCACTTTTAAGCGAAACAATAATATCAGAGAAAAAAGAGAAAGAGTATTCAGTAAAAAAAAGTAGATTAAAAAGAAATGTGCGATGTGAAATGTAAAATCACCAAAACAGAAACCGAAAGTCAGTTTAAACGGTAACAGAAATTGAAAGTTAATTTGTATTCATGTAAAATCGAAACAGAAACTAAAAATCAGCTTGTAGTCATGGGAATGGTGAGGAGAAAAGATAAGAAATGAATGAGCTAAATAAAATTGGGTCAAATAAAGTCAGTTATAAGGTAGCGAATAGCCCCAAATATTAATATTAACGGCAGACACCAAAATGAAAGTTATCAACTTGAGTTTCAGCCAATGAAAGCAAAACAATACTGTTTCTACAACTTGCCACACCTTACCGGTTTAACAAGGCAAAGAAACTTCATTATATCAATGCATTAGTAAAATATTAAACATCCTCAAATCATCATTAATTGATTCACACATAAAAACATACTAAGACACACACACCTAAACACACACACCTAAACACACACACCTAAACACACACACCTAAACACGCACCTAAAACTTACGTGTATTTTGTATTTGTATGCAGTAGATAATGCATAAAAACATGCAGACAAGCGATTGTACGTACATAGAGTAGATTGCGAAATGAAAGCATTTAAAAACCACTTGACCCCACTTGATAACTCAAACCTCGTTAGAAGATATTCCGGAGATTAATTGAAAATAAGCAACAGAAAACAACAACAAAAACCATAAAAATAACAAAAGTTAACAAAAGAAAAGAAAAGAAAAACTATCTGCTAACATGCACCCGGGTAACAAGCAAACTGCATGTAACTAACGATAACCACTCATTTGCATGTAGTTTAGTTTCTAATGGTTTATTACTCTCAAATTGTTAGAGTGTTAATGTGTGATAACGCATCTCTCTCTCTCTCTCTTTCTCTCTGTGTGTGTGTGTTAATGTGTCAAACGATCGTGCTTGTCTGCAATTGCAATCTTGCAATCTTATCTGCAAACGTGTTTCCATTCCATGTTCACATACACACTTGTATAACCGCGGCTTTCAGATAATCAATACAACATATAAAGACCTTGACAACTGAAAAAGTTCAAATTTTTAAATAATACAATAAATTCAAAAAAAAAACAACGCAGAACAAATGCACTGGGAAAAAAACCTCGCCCGAGGTCGCATCAATTAGCATTATATTTTTAATAATCATCATGACTCCATCCCATGACATCATTATGACATCGTGACAGCAGTAATATTATTTCCTCATTCTCAAGTAGGAATTCTTAGCATTTAATACCGAGGTCAAACATTTTGAATGCCACCTGGAGAGGAAGATAAAACAGCTTCTATGCAACAACCGCCATCAGGCTTTCCATCAACATTTCTCTGTTGACATTTTCTAACTTCTTTCAACATGCATAGTGTATAATACTCTCTTTCTTTCTCTCTCTGCTTATCTCTTCTCTCTGCTTTTCTCCTCTTTCTCTCTCTTTAGCAGTCTACTCATCTACTCTCTATCTCTCCTCCATTTCTTACCTGTTTCACATTCTTACGCACACACCTACAAAAGCACATCAGCAGAAACAATTCATTTTTACATTTTAGAACTTTCAGAAATTCTGAAGCCAAACATTGCCCACAATTATATCAATCAATGATGAAAACATATAATAAAAAATAAATCTCGAAACAATGTACATTTAAAACAGAATCTTCACTAATTTATTTAATTAATTATTTTCCATTTATTTTTGTTATATGTTCAACTACATCTGTGATCTAACTGTCTACCCATCCATCCATCCATCCATCCATCCATCCATCCATCCATCCATCCATCCATCCATCCATCTATTCATATATACAAAATACGTACGTACACACACACACGCACTCCATCTATTTATACATTTAAAACAAACAGACACACACACACACACACACGCACACACATAACAAACCCACTTCATCAAGCATTCAACACACACAACACACACACACACACACACACACACAGAGTCAACATGTTGTTCCTTCACTAACATTCAGTTTCAAGTTTCAATGACTGTTCACTTGCTACTAGTTGCTGGTTAGAAAGCCATGCTTGCATGCAAACAACATCTATTTAGCATAATAACTATTTGGACAAATCCCAATAACCCTACCTATATAATAATAACGATAAAAATAATAATAAATATAATAACATTGATAATCAATCAATCTTCGTTTTGCGTCCAGAGACCCGGTTCCCCGAGGTAGGACGTTGTTTCCTTTGCCATCAACTTTTTGCGCCAAATTTGACAATCAGTTGTATCCATTTCATTTAAATTTAGAGCTTTCATGTCTTGCTCAATTGTTTGACAATATTGATATATGAATAAATTATGATAATTATTATTTGTAATTACTCAGCAAGTAGTACAACTACAGAAACTTTCTAACAATAAAACAAACCCTGAAGATGATATAAACAATTACAACTCTGCCAGTCTGGTGCATACCAATTAGTCAATTAGTTAATTAATTAATTAACCAATCAATCAATTATGTATCTATTTATTTATTTAATTATTAATTAATTACTTTCACTACAACAATAGGGCTGACATTAATAATAATTATTAACATTGCTGTTTTTAATGTTATTTTTAATGTTGTTGTTGATCTTTTAATTTGTTGCAGAATGTCGCTGTTACAATCGTTATAGTTGTCATTACTATCGTAATTACAACTTTCCTAACGGTTACCATTAAATAGCTCTTGTTATTAATAACATTGTTACTAAATGTTCACTAATTGTTGTTACTATTAGGGTTGCTGTGGTTGATGTTGTTGTTATTGTTGATGTTATTGTTCTTATTACGATTTTTGTTGCACTCAAAAACCAACATAAAGTTTCAGAAATTGCTTTTAATAAAAGACAAGCCTATCCATACATCCATCCATCCATCCATTTATCCATCCATTTATCCATCCATCAATCATCTTGTAAAACTTAATTGAGTAGAGCACTAGCATGCAGAAAATGACAGATGAAGAAACTATTATTATTATTATTTTTACATATTTATAATTTATATTTGACATGATTAATTTATTATTATTCTTATTATTTATTACAAATATTTAGGATATTTTTAGTAGAAACAATGATACCAACAAGAGATACTTTTATATGATAATGATAATAAACAGATGATACATGCTATCAGCATTTATATCAACTGCCAAATAATTAAAATGAGTCAGATACTTGAAAAAAAAAGTTTAAA